TATACAATACTATAGAGATACAAACTAAAACCAAACTATATATATATATATATATATATATATATATATATATATATATATACATGCAGATGATATTTGTGCAGTATTCTTAACACAAAGGTAAATAATATCAAATTAATTACAATTAAATAGAAGTTAACTTGCCATTATTTTTGTAAGTGGAATAGTGGGCAATTGCCAAAGAAATGGAAGTTGGCTAATATTATTCTCATTTCAAGGGAGGTGATAAAAATTGTCCTAGTAATTACAGGACTATCAGTCTTACATCAGTAGCATGAAAGCATGATCAAAGATGTATCTGCAATGTCATTTAGCAAAGTTTAAAAATTTTTTTGATAGTCAACATGGTTTCACTAGGGAAACTCTTGGCTTACTGATCTTTTGACATTCTTTGATGAGAAGTTACTGATAACTTAGGTGAGGGTAAGAGTGTAGATTTGGTGTATCTGGATTTTCAGAAAGCATTTGACAAAGTTCCCATAAAAGGCTTATTAAAAAATCATCCCTATAGGCATGAAGGATAAGTTGGCTCATTGGACAGAAAAGGGGCTGGATGGGGAAAACAAAACAGAGGCTTTTTATAAATGAAATTCAATCAAACTAACTAAATTAATATCACAAGTGGGGTACCTCAACACCCAGTGTTAGCCCCATTGCTCTTTTATTTATATCAATAACATTGATAAAGGAATGGTCAATGACTTTTTTAAATTTGCTGATGGTATTAAGGTATAAGGTGCTGATGTCTGAAATTAGGATGCTGCTGCTTTACAAAAGGATTTAGATTATTTGGTGAGTTAAGCAAATATATGGCAGATGTTTTTTAATTATACTAAATGCAAGGTAACACGTGTGAGTTATAATTTAAATTATAAGAATAACCGTAACAGTGTTATGGAAGAAAAAGATCTTGGTGTTCTGCTTGATCATTCTCTAAAGCCATCCACACAGCATGCTGTTGCTAGTAGTAAGGCAAATAGGATTTTAGGTTGCACCTACAGAAATACTGATTATAAGTCTAAATAGATTATATTTTCTTTATATTGGTCAGTTGTTAGGCCACATTTATAGAACTGTGTTTAGTCATGGGCTCCTTACCTTAGGAAGGACAGTGTACTGTCGGAAAGGGTTCAGAAGAGGGTTACAAGAATGATAGTTGGGATGGAAAGGCTGTCATATGAAGAGAAGTTATAAACTTTGAAATTGTTTTCTCTTGAGAAAAGTAGAATTAGAGGGGATATAATCAAGGTGTTAAGGGAATTGATACATCATTTTTTTTTCATACTTAATGATGAAAATTGTAAGATTAGGAGACATAAATATGATTTTTGACAGGATAGGAGTGATCTTCAGGTAAGGCAGACTTCTTTCTTTTTCTAACAGGGTAGATATCCTTTGAATGGGTTGCCTTCAGGTGTGGTGGAAGCAGTAAATAAGAGTTTAGATGAAGGCTTGATAAGTATTTAAATCATAAAGGCCGGCTTACATATATTTTTATTTGTAATAGTTTAGTGGATAGGAGCAACCCTGGCCTGAATTTTAACATTAGATCATTACTACACTTGTTTTATTCAAGAATCAAAAATATTTTTCTAATATTAATGTATAAGATAAATATAACTTTAATGTACTTCTATAGTATAAGGCAGTAATTTTGTGGATATGTTATTTAGAATGGTAAAGACTACAAATTTATAAGACTGGTTAAGGAAAGGGTTGATAAGTAATTGGTTGTTCAGAGCTGATTTAGTGGTTTTCTTCTTCTTTGTTGTTGTTTTTTTTTCCATTGTAAAACTTGCTAAAGTCTTATATTTTTAGATACAACAGGATCTTTTATTTTTATTTTTGCTGTACATTATGTCATCAATTTAAACTGCGTTAGCTTGCATTGGACGTAGTGCACTACTATTGCTAGTTGTAACTTCTAACGTTAGGAACGCCAATCATCAAATCTGTACTGTAGCCTGTAGCGACGCTATATGATGACTGTACGAGTTACCGCAGCAGCAGCAGAAGTTACAACTACCATACATAGAAAATGGAACCTTACGTACATATTATATAGTATAAAATTTTGTTCGCTCGAGACAAGATTATAAATGCATTACCAGTACTTACCCCCATTTTCCATAGTCTTGTTGTAATAATCCCACGCATTGTGTAATAAATAAGCCATTTTAAAAAGCCTTCTTGAAATATCAGAAACTAGATGAAATCACTTCACGTAACACTAAACTAACGTCAGCCGGCTCCCCACCCAACTCGCCTGTGAGGGATCCAGCGTTTCGGTTACCTGGATAAACGCAGCAACACTGCCACCTATAAAAGAATTGTAATAGGAAACATGTAAGCATGCATTTATGTACACGTATATATAATTGTATATAGGTAAAACATATAACTTTAATGTATCTCTACAAAAAAGCAGTAAATTTCAGGAACAAATTACCATCTAGAATGGTTGAGACTGTAGCTTATGACAGCTTAAATAAAGTGGTTGTTTGGGGCCAGGACTTCCTTGATATCCATATTTTTTATATATTTTAAATTGATACTTTATAATTTTGTTTGTATATATATGTGTGTGTGTGTGTGTTTTAGTAAGTTTAATAAGCTCTTAGTACGATATTGTTTAAATGCGGAATTTCAATTAATTGTCTTTGAAACGGCCAAATGCATTATTTTCGGTTGTATAATAAATCATTGAATATTTATTTAGTCACGTGAATTAATAGAACAAGAAAGGTACTGTTTTCTTGTTACAATGGCATGGCGTTGTAATCATTGTGACAGTAAGGTAGGTGCATATAAATCTTTCAAGATTATCATTGAATAAGTACATGATTGAGAATAAAATTATTTTTGTGCACCAAAACGCTTTCTGAATATTTTATTTTTTCTTGAATGATAGCTCGTAGAGTGAAAGTGCGCTGTTCAAGTTGAATAATATTCGTTAATTTTTCCCGTGGCAGTACACAGCATAATAAGTCTTGTGCAAACCATGTTAAACAAAAATCAAACTTTCGTTTGTTAACATCCGGGATATATTAAGTACTTTTAGACTTACCTTGGAACACAAACCCTATGCTCACCTAATACTTGAAATACCAACAGATAGATAATTTACAGAGGACAAGTTGAGATTTTGAAAATAGCTAATGCAAAAGGCATTTGAAAGATATTATGGTGTACATGACATACTGGTAACTATTATAATTCATAGAAATGCTTATAATATTTTAAACTCATATTTTCAAATTGTCTCCGCAGTAAGAAGAGCGTTCTCCAACCTAAATAATTATATTAAAAATTGTTATTAGTTGTATAAAAATGAAACTTGATTGCTTTGAACGTAATTTACAAAATATTTAATCGTAAAAAAAAAGACAAGCAGGGTCTATTTTAGATAATATGTAGATCTTATATACTTATAAACTCAAACTTTCAGGTGTGGAATCAGTTTTACACGTGGAACCCAGTCTAAAAAAATTAAGATATTTTTGGGCCAACGTGTTTTGTGCAGCTCAACTTTTACGAGCAATCTAATATATGCAGATTTTTTAAATGCAAACGTTTTCTAAGATTAAAAAGTAATGATGAATGACTAAGAATCAAGTCCGATCAAGTTTTAACTGTGAACATAATTTTGAACACAAAAATTCAGTGAAAACAAAACATTTAAACGCGTCTCAAAGTTTAAGTTAGACAAAAAAGTTGATAGTTAAAATAATTAATTTTCAAGAGTATAGATAAATTTCGAATGCGAATAGGGTATAAAGAAAGCTTAAGAGTGGGAGCAAAGAAAATTATGTAATAATAGGGCATTCCCTAGTTGCCCTTTTTAAGTAAATCTTTATAAATACGACATTACTTAAAGCAAAAATCCACACTGTCTTACTATACTGCCATTGTTCAACATTATCTTCACTGCAGCGGTTCTATATGTACAATGAAGATACCTGGAAAGCGTAAACAAGTTAACATTACAAGATGAATCAACATTGACGTGTTACTTGGCTACTGCCGCTACGTCAGTGAACGATAAAATAACGAACTGCCCTTTTATTATCACGACATATTAGCAGAAAATGATCTCGAATATCGCCGGGTTTGAAACATCAATTAACTTGGGAGTACTCCAGTTTGGGCGTTTACTTGGAAGTTCATAACACACTACTATATAAGAAAAGAGAATTGAAATAATTACACCAGAAAAGTTATTTCAACATTACCGAAACATATTCGCTGTCGTAAACGGGATTTTCAAGGCCCTAACAACTAGGAACAACTAATTTTGACACATAGGTGATAAATCGACTAGTGAGTACCTATTTTATTTTGTTATACTATCTTCTTCATAAAAAGACAGATTTTTTAAATAGAAAAATCGACTAGTAGAACACACCATCTAGATTCCGTGAACTCCTGAATACTTTGTTAAACTGTTTATGCATCTGTAAAAACGAAGTTTATTGGAACCTCTTCAAGGCACTTACACAGATCAGCCTCCCAGTGGCGCAGCGGAATGTCTGCGGACTTACAACGCTAGAAACCGGGTTTCGATACCCGTGGTGGGCAGAGCACAGATAACCTATTGTGTAGTTTTGTGTTTAATTCCAAACAAACATACACATATCATCACCAAATAATTGCCAACTTGTGCACCTTTTCACAATGCGTGTCAGAATAATGTAATTTTTGCTCTTGATAGTGTCTATACAGTGATAAGTGGATATATATTATCATTTGACACAAAATCGCTCTACAGTAAGTAACTAGTGTAGTTGCATAGTTAAAGTGAATTCTAATATCGTGGAAATAAAATTTAATTCTCAACGTTTATCATATCCAATTGTAATTGCTTGTCGAATTCAGTAAGAAAAAAAAAGTCGGCTACTCGATCTTTTCAGTCAAACACAAAAAATAAAAATAAAACTTTGTGTCCATTTGGCTAAGAGGTCGTGGCGTTTATTTTAACTAAGCTTTGGTACTGACAGTATTTAATAAATATATAGATATTTAATCATGATATCCAGTAAAAAAAAAACAACAACAAAAAACTACATATCCAGGTGCCTTTGTTCTGATCATTCCAATTGTCTGTGGCTAAACAGGTTAAAAATCTTGACTCCCTTGATGCAGTTCAGTTTAAATGTGGTGATTTGCAAGAGTAAATAACGCCTAAAACGAACCTCTTCTGGGAGAGTTAGATTAAAGAAACTTTCAACACGGAGTACTTCTATTTTTAGATTATAAAAGCATACAAGGCACGAAATTTTAGTTTAAAAGAGAGGAGTATGTGCAATGTTGAAACGTAACTGTAAAGCCAAGGAAAACGTGATTCCAACAGGATAAACAGATCACTCCACTATCGACTACTAGTAAACGCAACTTAAATACTGACGCATCTGTTTGCATGTTTGTAAGACAACTTAAGAGTTTTTTTTGTTGTTAAATAAAATCTAGATAATGGGCTATCTGTGATGTCCTCACCACGGTTTTTATCATTATAAGCCTTCATACTTATCGCTGAGTCACCAAAAGCAGGATAAGATACACTACTTGAAATTCTATTTTACCCTTATATTTCTTATAAGAAGCCATGTGTTCAGAAAGTGTTACATTTTCTAAACACTATAAGTATAAGTTATAGGACACTACCAGTTTTATAAACCCCAGTAATACCGATGGGGTCCTTGCTACATTAACTTTTTAAACACATTTTCTAAAATATTTATCCATCAAATTGCCGGTGAGTCCATGACTGTTGGTTACAGGATTCTTAATAACATGGATCACAATACCACTAGTAGTACAGTTAATCTAACTAATTATTGCTAGGATTTTCTATGTATTTTAGAAACACCCTGGTGTTTCAGTTTGTGGTTCGATCCCTGCCGTGGGTATAGCGAGGATACCCATTCTGTTGCTTTACTTTTAAATGTTTGACAATAGAAAATAAACAATTTCATCCAGGTTTTTAGTCAGTTCTTTAAACAGCTTGTTTTGTTTTTTTTGTTTTTATTATTATTATATCACAAAGTTAGACAATAGGCTATCTGAACTCTATGCACCAAGTGGAATCTAACTCCATAAGTTTAACACAGGCCCGCTGGGGGGACCCGAATTTTGTAATAGTTAAAAATAAGCAAATATACCGAATATGATGCAGTATGTGGGTCCGACCAGTAGTGAACACTACATCAACAAGTCGGCAATTAGAGTATTAAGCTAGTCGATCGTTTCTTGCGAGATATTGTTAAAACCTATGAACGCATTTTTGTACAATTTTTACAAAACAACTTAAAAGATCGCACAATAAACAATTGAGACTTGGGGAAACTAAGTTTAAATCGGAGTTAATCGATCAGTTTTAGATAGAGGTAAAATGACGTTATAATACAAAAATAATACAAAACCAATTGTTTGTTTGTTTTGAATTTATGCACAAAGCTACACAATGGGCTATCTTTGCTCTGCCCTCCACGGGTATCGAAACCCGGTTTTTAGCGTTGTAAGTCCGCAGACATACTGCTGTGCCACTGGGGAGGGTGCTAGAGGGAAGGCAGCTAGTCATCACCACCCACCGCCAACTCTTGGGCTACTCTTTTACCAACGAATAGTGGGATTGACCGTCACTTTATAACGCTCCCACGGCTGAAAGGGGCGAGCATGTTCGGTGTGACGGGGATTCGAACCCGCGACCCTCAGATTGCGAGTCGAGCGCCTTAACCATGCCAGTCCGTTACGAAACCGAAGGTAGGCGTTAGATACGAGGATGTAATCTGCATTGCGTGGACATTTCCATTTTATCTAGTTTAGTTTTATTACTGTTACAGGGAAGTAGTTTATACAGAGTAAGGACACAGATACGAACTGTTAAACTGACACGCAACAGCATCAACTACACCATTTTATAGTTAGAACTGTAGCCCTATATCACGTGGTTCATACTCGATCCTGCAAAATGTTTAACGACACGATGCTCCCGGTTTGTTGTAGGTCCTCCTACTAAATATATCGTTCAAACTATTATAAGCTTTCAGGATATAATTTATAAGTATATATAATATGATGTTGCATGCGTATATTAATAAGGTCATCAAAAACAGCTCTTAATGTTTGAGAAAGTAAATGTACATGTACGAAGGGTAGAGGATTAGATGGAAAATAGTTACTTATTTAATATAGTGAAGAAAACTAATGAAACTTTAAAACAAAGGCAGATTTTTATTACTTTCTATTTAAAACGAATAGTAGATCGTTGATTTATGTAATAAACACGATTTATTACTGAATTTGAATATAGTGTTCTAATT